TGGGGAGGTAGGTCTTCACAAATCATGAATGGACCTAACCAGCTCGGCAATCTAGCCGGCCACATACTCAACTTGCCTACAGAACCACTCTCTTGGTTCTTTATCTTTCTTTCTTGCTTGCTTTCTCTGTGGAATCAGGTATTGTACTTTTACTTTCTCTTTTACTCCGAAAGGACATAGTCCCAACGGGTCCTCCAAAACCTCACTGATATATATATATATATATATATATATATATATCATGCACCAAACTTATGCATATCACACCTCAACAACTTCTCAATGCAACAAGGTAATGATATACCACATGCTTATGAATTTTGGAAAATAATACTAGGCTCACGTTGGACATTCATGCTCTTATAAAAACATGATATGCTCGAAATGTAAGATTATTGTACAATCATACTTCAATTCTATATATCACTGTGAAATATCAATAACTCAATAAATCATGCTTGTAAGTCATAACTTGACAAATCTTCTCAACTAACACTTAGCAAGTATTTAACATGCCATTGGAACTCAAATTGCTCGAGGTAACCTCATTCACAGTATAACAATACTCAAGGAAATCATGCTCAGTACATCTTGGTGATTCCAAAACAATGGCAGACAACTCAAATAAACATACTAGACATTTAATTCATGCTTCTTCTAGCAAAATTTAGCACATAGGGCTCATGCTTTTCTATTTAACAAGTCAGTAATATCATGCTCAACATATAGAGGATCAAAGTCTGATAAACACATCATCTCATTTACTGGACATGCTTCTGCAACATTTTCTTATACAAAAACATTCATAACTAGCTCAAAACTTAACCAAATCCAACGGAATCAAAGCCAAAACGTGCGTCAAGACGGCCCCGAGGTACCGAGCCGCAAGGGCCCGTGACACCTAGTCTGAAACGACACGTAGCTGAGCCACAAGGGCCCGGCCACTGCACAGGGAACAACTCACGGACCTTGGGGCGGGGCTCAGTTAAGCCCGCCCCTCGAACCGCCATTTCGCCGGCTCTAGTCAACGGCCCTCTCCTAGGGCCATTCCCTAGGCCCGGCTGGCCACGAATCTAGCCAACGGTTCCCTTGTTGGGCCGTTGACTGGGGCCGGTGAATCTACTAGTGCACACTGCCTGTGCGCCAGATGATTTCTTCTCATCTACAAAACATTTCCAGGCAATTCTAGCACATCAAAAACATCAACAACACATCATAGGTAAGTAATAGATCACTTAATAGCTAAAACACTTCAAGAATCTAGCATTTATACTCATTTCTACCTATAAAACAATGGCTTCACAGAGCCAAACTTCAGATGGGAGTCCATGGGGCTATACCTTTGTTGCTTTCACTCTTTAGCTTGGATTCCACCTTCTTCCCAAGCTAGACACCTCCTTCTTCACCTCCTAAACAACTCAAACAAACCAAACTCTATTCACTACAAGTCCTCAGAGACAAAGCTAAGGAAGAAAAGAAGAAAGTTAATGATTGAAGAGAGGAAAATGGCTTACTGTGTTGTTCTCCTGATGCAAATGAATGGGAAGCTAAGAATGGAATCAAGAGGCAATGTCTGATATGTGTGTAATATATAGTGGCTCTAAACCCTAGGAGAATCAACAATTATTGGTGGATGGCAAAATGGTAATTTGGCTTGACTCCTTAAAATATCAGACAAGGGAAAGTGGAGTCTAGTGGTTCACCAAGCATCATGGACCAATGTCTAGAATCATGGTTTTAAAATAGTTTTGGGATAAAAATGCATTTTTTCAAAAATACTTTCTAGACAACCACTTAGTTTAGGTTTCTCAGATTTCTCCCGGTTTCACTCAAATTGACTTTCGGATCAAAAACTAGGTACGCAATGTACCCGAGGATTTAGGATTTTAGATTTAAAATAAGTCCCGGTGTTGAATTTATTTAAAAGTGGTTCAAAATAATTTATTCAAACACCGATTTCATCGCAAAAATTTTTATAGAGTGAAATTGGCTATTTTAGAATTTCTTAAAAACCGAATTTATAAAATAAAATTTTGGGTTGTCACAACTTCTCCTTGATTTTGGTATTTCCCATGCTACACCAATGCAAATGTATTGTGACAGCCAAGTGGCATTGCACATCGCTTGTAATCCAGTCTTTCATGAGCGAACCAAACACATTGAAGTCGATTGTCATTTTATTCGTGATGAAGTTCAGTCTGATAATATTCAACCATCTTATGTTCATACTTCTATGCAAGTGGCATATATTTTGACCAAGGCCTTGGGCAAGTCTCAGTTTAAGTTTCTTTTAAACAAGTTGGGCATTCTTGATGTTCGTGCTCCAACTTAAGGGGGTATTAGTAATGTTATTTTTTGTTGTAAATACTCTCTTTTCTTTCCTCATATTATTTGCTGATCTTTTGATATTTATTTTCTTTGCATTGTATATTTTCTATTTTCTGTCATTAGTTTTCTTGGAGATAGGACAACCTCTTTGTATATATGGACTGTATTATTTTCAATGAAAGCAGAGGTGAATTTTTTCCTTCAAAATTCTTGATTTATTATTTCTCAATAATTATGGATTGAGTTAGTGGCGGCTAAGAGCGAAGTTTACATTTCTTCAATTTAGCATTAAGGACGACTTTGTTGAATGGACAACAAATTTCATTGAATCAAATGCTGATGTGACATGCATTATTAATTATTGAATACTTTTGACTTTGTTATTTGATGGATCAAAATTTTCTTCTCCAAAAAGTGAAATCTCCAATCTTAAAAACTCCCAACAATCCATTTTTCACAGAAAATTTGAAAGGATGTAAATCACGGTAACTCAGTGGTTCAATAGACATGGCCAAATGCTAGTGTGTATAAGAAATGTGCCCACTTTAAACATAATTCCTACACAGTCGATGCTAAGTTCTGAACCAATGAGCTAAATCTGTATAGCCGGTTTGTAGCTAACAATAATTAGAACCTAAATTAATTAAAGTCTAATGTGAATCCTTGCGATGGAACTAGTTTTTCCAACTAAGAGAATAATTGACAAACTAGCTAAAAATATAAAAATCCCACAACACTATAAATAATAGAAAATATTATTACTTTGAGAAATTACAATACAAAGTCATAATAATAATAATAATAATAATAATAATAATAATAATAATAATAATAAAGGTGATAATCGATGACTACTACCCAAAGTGAATGATAAAAGTTTTGAGTTTGTAATCGGTGCAACCTCATCTACACTTGGGAATCTTCCCAGAAGAAATATAATTAAACAAAAAGATAGTTAAAGTACCACCTGCCAACTCCTACACACACCCAAACTCTTCATCCAAAATTATTTCCAAATTAATAAATTAAAACTATTATTCTACTTTTTACTATTCTCTAACTATTCTAAAATTTATTAATAATATGTACTACATGTCATTAATTAATCATTCCTCAATTAATCTGGTACTTCTTCCCCAAAGATTTTCTAGACTACATGAATTGCTTCAGCTCAAATAGGATTTACGTCTATTGGATAAAGATATACATATGATTAAAAATAAGAATAAAAACTAACACAAAGTAAGAAGATTAAGTTGTGATCATACCTCTTAGTAGCAATTTGAAGAACTTGGAGCAAAGGAATTTAGTGTGAGAATTTAGAGCGTATGGACAAAGGGGTTTTCATTAGGATGCATAAGGTAGATGGTTGTTGTGTGTGTGTCTACGGATCACACCTATTTATACAACAAATTAAAGGTTCCAGGATATACAGCTAACTACTATCTACAGGATGAAGATAAAAACGTATCTTATCACATCAGCTACTCTTTACAAATGTTACATTTTTCACAGGTTGTAGTAAAGATGAAAATAAGAACGAATATTATCTTATCTTTTTACAACTCAGAGATAACACTATGACTATTTTCTTCTCTCATGCATTTCGAATCAATATATTAAAAATGAACATTTATTAGTCTTGATGTGCATAGAAATGAGAAGTAGGACTAATAAGTTTAACAAAATGGCAAGAGGGGGGAGGGGGAGGGGGTGGAGTGCAGAGATTAAGAGCATTTTCAATAGTGGCAGTTTTTTGTGGTTTTTGAGATGCTAATTAAGAGAGAGAGGGGAAAAAAATAAAAAAGCAGGTCTGATCAAGGAAAAAAAAAAACACATAGGGTCTAACGCGCGCGTGTAGTCGCAGTCTGTGCAGCCCACCCACGTGGTTGCCAATCGTTATACCCTACACCACGGCGCACATAGCACTGTGCGCCGCGCGCCTCCCAAAACGACGTCGTTTTGGGAGGCGCGGTAGGAAGTTGCTGGGATTATGTGTATTTGTTCACACAGTTATGTGTATTTGTTCATACAGTTATGTGTATTGGTTCATACAGTTATGTGTATTGGTTCATACAGTTATGTGCATTTTTTATACAATTATGTACATCCGAATCAGAAAATTTGTGTGTATTATGTTAATAGTTGGTGTGTATTATGTTAAAAGTTTATGTTTATTATGTATTATGTTAGATTATGTGTATTATCTTTTAAAAAGAGTATGTATATTTTGTTATATAATTATGTACATTCATGTATACAATTATGTGTATTCTAGTATAACATTATGTACATTCTTGAACAGCGGGTTTTTTTTTAAAGAAAAAACTACTGCCATTCACTGGGGCGGGAAATTTCAAAAAAAAAAAAAAAAAATTAAAACGACGTCGTTTTGCATCTGGGCACATAGTGCAAGGCGCGCCGTGGTATAGGATATAAATTGGTGGTTGCACCTCTCATTTTCCTTTTCTCTCTCCTGACAGATCCCCAAAAAATCAATATTGCAGGAGGAACTCATTTCTTCTCTCTCCTCCACATAAGCCATATTTACCTCAAAAACTGTAATTAAAAAAAAATAATAATAAATAAAAACCAAACAAACAAACAAACAACAACAACAACAACAACAAAAAAAACAAAACAAAACAAAAAACAAAAAACACAGATGGGGATGCTCTAAAGTAAAGTACAAGGAACTATGTTTTCTGTGTTTTATACAAGCAGCATCCGCCTGTCAACACGACAACAAGCTAAATCTTTCACAACAATTTTTCGACCTAATTAATAAATCTTTAGACAACCTGAAACTGACACTATCCCAGTATTACACTACATTTATCCCTGTCACTACACCATGTTAAACAACAAAAGATGAACAAGTAAACTAGTTATCAATTATTGCTTACACCATTACACCATTAACATCCCCTTGTCATCGATCAGAAGGTGAGTACGTCAAGATTTAGCCTTTGCAGGAAAGTCCTTCCGGGGCTCCAAATGAGGCTGCGAAGCAACTCCACTGCAGCTCGGTAAGCCATTATTCCCGGGGGACAATAACGGAGGAGTTGATGGCGGTAGATCCTGAGATGCGTGCTTGTCTAGTTGTCCAGAATTGGATGATGGGAAATCGTTTGGGAACAAGTTGTAGGAATCGAATATCGGGAGATCAAAGTATCCATCCGATGACTGAGCATATGAAGGGTTGAATTGCGGCTGGGGGGCTTGCTCGTAGGCTAGACAGTCCTCGACTGGTATTGCCCCTGTTAGGGTTTTGAACGCGAATTCTAGGCATGGGTCTGACCAGCAGTCCCCGAAGGGGTACCGAAGTTGTGAATCTTCCAATGTTTGGTTCTCGGTTACTGGTTCTGGTATTGGATTCTCTGAAACAGCCTCTTTCTCTACTGATTCAGTTGCCTTTGTTGGCTCGTCGTGTTGCTTAGGCATTTCTTGATCCGAGAGATTATTCGGGGCTGGAACCGGAGATGCATCTGCTTCAGTTCCACCAGAATTCTTCACAGAATCTACTTCTCGGGGTGGATTGATTAGAGATGGGGGAGCCAAAGATGCATTTGCTTCAGTTCCACTAGAATTCGTTGCAGAACGCACTTCTTGAGGTGGATTGTTGCTTAGAGGTGGGACCAAAGATGCGTTTGTTTCAGTCCCGACAGAATCCCTAACAGCAAGCATTTCCTGAGGTGGATCCACCGGGACTTGGACCGAGGATGTATTTGCTTTGGTTCCACTACAGTTTCTAATGGCAGCTCGAAAAACCCGTTCACCTAGGCCCAAATTGGCCACTTCTTCTGGGCTGTGCCCAGCAAGTCTTTTTGAGAACCGAGCAGGTGAGCCAAGAGATTTGTCCTTTCTGGATTTTCTCGGCTTAGTTACAGATGTTGTACCACTATGCTTTTCCTTCTTGCTTCCAGCTTTGCTCTTTCTGGATTTTCTCGACTTAGTTATGGATGCTGTACCGCTATGTTTATCCTTCTCGAGACCAGATTGAGGAGTGGACACAGTTTCAACATCATTGCCAAAAGCTGAAACGCTAATCTCTCCATTTAGATCACTCGGTCTTGCTTCTGAGCCCGGTTTTGTTCCAGTACCTTCATTTGCGGTTTTGAGTTCTGTTTTAACTTCAACCACTTGAATATTAATGTCATCACGCCCAGCGCTACGCAGTCTTTTCTTAATGCTTTCAACTTGCGGTTCTGTCAAATTGGTGGGTTCAGAACTTTCTCTACCTATACAGCAGGGAATCAAGTCAGAATCGGGAAAATGCGAAATTTAAACTCAAATAAAGAAAAGCACCACGTTTCCATTCCTCACCAGCAAAAATCTGTCTTTTGGTCGAAGACTGCTCCGCTTTCCTTTCAGCAGCTGAATGGGAAGCCTATTGAAGTCACAAAAAAGTTCCCGATCATCAGAAATTGGCAAGAAAAATAAACGCTGTAAAGCACTATTAAGAGACCAAAAAAAAAAAAAAAAAAGATTTGGACACCCTTCCCTTTGAGATGGAAGCATCAAGTTTTACACCGGAAATGGACCAAAAGAGAGCCCAAGATTTCTAAATTGAAGTATCATACTCGTATTCATTGAATGCATAACATGAAAATTTACGTTTCAGCTCTCCAAATAACTTCTATTCACCGTAGCAAAGTGTGTAACATTTAGCTACTACCCATAGTATATATCTTTCACTTCAATAACATTTTCTTCAAGGTTACAACTCGGTATCAAAATTTCAGAAGTGCATATTTCCGCATTGAGTGTTTTTCTAGTACAGACTTGATGGATCTTCTAAAATATTTCATAGAATAAACAAAGTTCAGTCACAGCCTGTATTTCCAAGTTATTCTAATTGTCCTTCAAAACGTCATGCAAGATGGTTCTTTTATGCAAGTTTTCTATATCCAATTGCACTGTAATAAAAGGGTATTGACAGCCAATAATACAAAGAGTAAGTATGCGTAGAAAAGAAATGATAAATAATCGTTGATTAGGACATCCAGCAAAGAGCAGACTCACAGATTCTTCATTGGTTCCTGAACCCGAGTCCCTTTTCTTGGGCCTTATTGCACACTTCTCGATGTCACCAGTTTCTATATAGCGCAAAGCATCCTTCTTGGAATGAAATACATATCCACTGACAGGGTCTATATATTGCTGTTAAAATCAAGACAAACCAGAGTCACATATACTGTTTTTAGGGGAACCCAAAAAAAAAAAAAAAAAACTCACCAAAAAACTCCACAATCTGAGTAAATGCATGCTTTATTGTAATTTTTCGTTTTGAGTAAATGCTAGCCAAGGTCCTCCGAGTTTGGTGGTTTCGCCACCTTTAGTCCTAAACTTTCAAATCGACCACCCGTGGTCCTCCGAGTTTCGAATACGACCTGCCGTAGTCCTTCCGTTAACTGTTGACGTCTGTGCCGTGAAAAGTAAGGGCAAAACAATATTTTTATTTCAACCCCAGCCAAAACAAATCATCATCATTTCCCTCAAAAACTGTAGAAATGTAGAGCTTTCTTTGCCAGGAATGAATCCACAATTGTGAAATCTTCGGATTGAAATTGCGGTTTTGGCTCACCAAAGAACGGTGTTTGCGTAATTGGAAATATTGGAGAAGAAGTTCGGTGGGAGGAGATTAGGGCTAATTTTAATTTTTGAGGGAAATGAATTGTTTTAGCTGCGGTTGAAATAAGAAGACTATTTTGCCCTTACTTTTCACAGCGCAGACGGCATATGTTAACAAAAGGACTACGGCAGGTTGAATTCGAAACTCGGAGGACCACGGGTGGCGATTTGAAAGTTTAGGACTAAAGGTGGCAAAACCATCAAACTCGAAGGACCTTGGCTGGCATTTACTCTTTTTCGTTTCCTCTTTTTTATCCCGTCTCCATGAGTAAGCAAATGTTTTGCATTTGTGCTCGTGTATTTAAAATAGAAAGAGAGATTGTTCAAAGAAAAGGGAACGTACCGGATCCCTTCTTATCCCCCCATGTGCATAAGCTCTAGTTTTGACTTCCTTTATCCAGCTCGGTGGCAACCCATCCACTAAATCGCTTTGAACCACAACCTAGATATAACTTCACAAATTAGAAACTTTCATTGCATTAAACAGTTGAAAAATATATTTCGAGGCATCTTACAGAAGAACCAATATCGGAAGGTTGCTTGCCCATTCCAGATCTCAGCTTTCTAGAGGTATGACTCTGGCCACCGGTGGCTTTCTCGTTTTGAGAAACTTTATTGCAAGAGGGTTCTTCAATGTTACTCTGAAACACGTAAACAATTGACAGGGATAATCTATAAGATCTCTCCGTTCGTGTGATTAGATCTATAAGAAGGTTTCCAGATATTAGCAATGACTATGCCAAGTGAAATTTCTAGATGAAGATGAAAATGACTTCTTTAAGATGATTCTAACTTTGTTATTTTCATCATAAGAAATTGTGTTTAAAAAATTGTAGTGTTATAAAGAAGTGACCTATATATGGCATTTCATAACCTGTAAAATTCTATGCCATTATATCAAACAGAAGTACAGACTCTATTTTCACCTAGTCCAAAGAAGTGTGAAATATAAATAAAGTCAAATTCACGTTAAGAGCACGGTGAAAATATGCAAAAAAATGTGTTCCTACTTTCTTTTCCTCGCCAACGCCAATAGGGCCATTGCAATTCATAGTTTTGAGATGCCGAGAAACTTCAGGCTTTGAATAGAATCTCCTTCCAAATGGGTCAATGTAACACTGCAACAAAAGGAAAATAAATCACTATGTCAAAGCAAAAGTCGTTTTATTAGCAATGGATTTCATTACACAACAGAAAAGCACTACTTTTTCCCAGTGTTTGCAAAAATCCCGCCTAGCGTATCACCATAATCGGTGGTTTAGGCGGCCTAATTGGCCGCCTAAGCGCCGCCTAGGCCTCCTAGGCGCCGACTAGGCCTCCTAGGCACTGACTAGGCCGCCTAGTCGGCCGATTAGCTATTATTCTTTTTTTCATAAATGGGTTATTAAACTCAAAACGACATCATTTTGAGCGAAATAACCCTAAATTATTCAAACTCAAGATGTTTTTTAGGTTAATATTTAATATTTTAGTATTAACTATTAAAGTATTAAATAGTTTATATTTATTAGTGTTAAAATACACGGGCGCCTAGGCATTGATTAATCGTCATCTAGGCGCCCCCCGGGCGCTTGAGGAGCGCCTAGCGAATTTTTCAACCATGCTTTTTCCAAAGTATGAACTCTGATAGTTGACATTTTTAGGTAGGAGGGAGGGGAATCTGATACCATTCTACTTACATAACTTGAGAAATTTAGGAAATTGTTTTCTAGAAAAGACAGACTTACCTTATAAAACGGCCAAACACAAAAAGGAAAAGAAAACAAAACAGAAAAGATAAACAGATGTACATCAGTACATCCTCACCGGACTCCTTAGGTTCTCTCTAGTTTCCTGTCTGCAATAAAGATGTTTTTGAATCTGAGCAACTAAACAGCTCACATATTTCATCCAACATATAGCCGTTAATATATCCCATGCATAAACTATAGCGTCAGCAGTTTAGCTGTAATCAAACCACCCACTTATAATTGTTTTTGTTTCAATACCATGTAAGTTTGACCATGGGAAACGCCACTCATTCGAGTTTTCTCCTCAACCGTCCATCCAGGAGGTAACCATTCGGGAGATTTATCTGGATTCGCTGCAGTCTGGGGAAAAGCAAGCATGAAGCCACTTAGAAGGTAGGATGACACGTAAAAAAAACGAGCATATTTAATTAAATTATTAAAATACAAAAATAAAAATTGCCAGACCTTCGAACTTTGTGAATTAGTATTTCTTTCTGAGTGCCTGGTCTCACGCTGAGCAATTGCCCGGTTTTGACCACGGGAATTGCCTTTAATCTTCATATAGCAGATGACATCCTTTTTGGAATAAAATTTTTTCCCGTTTGGTGCATTTGTATAATACTACAAGGCCAAATAGGAAGTGTAAGTAATTCAATTTATGTGCAATTACGCAAATCCTTTACTTGAGTACAAATCTCGCGTATTTGTAATATACACATTAGAACTAATTTCGCTGGAAACTTGACTAACAATTTTTATATTATGAAGGACAAGGTAAAATGGGGGATAGATTGCAATTTAGGAACTTAGGGAGCTAATTTTCTCATAAACATATATTACTGCTAGATATAGAGAAGACATTTAAGCCTTAATTTCTTTTCTAGGAAATAACAGAATCCACAAGTTCTAGATGAGTTCATGACCACGAACCCGGAACCCCTGAGAACTGAGAAATCATCAAACAAGAAAAGAAACCTATTCTTAAATCCTTCTAAGGAAGAAAGAGATGCAATTTGTCATTTCTAAATAAGTATCAGTGTTGCAAAAATCGCGCAATCGGCGCCTAGGCGCTAGGCGGTCGGCCTCCTAGGCGCCCGCCTAGGAGTTCTAGGCACTCTAGGCGCCCTAGGCGGTCCCCAGGCGCCCTATGCGGTCCCCAGGCGCCCTAGGCAATCCCTAGGCGCCTAAAGGGCGCCTAGCGATTTTTTCAACATTGATAAGTATAAATTAGGTACTAACTCCACCGACTGTTACTTCCTATGGACCGACATAACCATAGATTTTACTATTTCCTCATATCCCGATATTTGCAGTAAGCATGAAAGATTAATTTCCTGCCTTCCCCGACCATTCCTTAAATCCCGCTATTTGCAGCAAGGGTGTTTCCTCAGTAGGAACAGATGATGTAATATCACCTCTGACTCTTACTTCATTTATAGACCAACATAACCATTGATTTCTCTTTCTTGGCTACCCCCAACAACTCTACCCAATTAGATGCAAAACCCCAAGAGGGGAAATTTTTTATCATTCCCCATACAAAGCAAGGGAATAATTTCATGCAAACCAAAGATTATCATGGCAATTGCAAATCAAGAACTTGAAAAGGTTCAGTGACAAAAAGTCAATAACTATCTATAATACAGCAAGTAATGGTACTGAGCCAACCTGAAATTCCCAAAATCAATCAAATTAATGAAACACTAAATCTTTTTCAAGCCTTTTAGACTTAGAAAAACTTGGGCAAATGCATCAAAAATTGCATTGGATAACTTTTTGTCAAGTAAACTCAAAGTGCAACAAGTTAGCAAATCAGTCGATGCACAGAACACAAGTTCTCCAATTCACCACCAAACCAATCAACTGCTTGAGCTAATTTCATGTTTCTAATCATATAACTCTGAAAGACTGAAACTTTGAGCTGAATCTTACAAAGGGTCAGTTAAAATCACTAGAAATGAACAAAAGGGGGATCAATTACCTTGACTTTCCGACCGTTTTTAACTTTAACATGCTCGGACCAGCCGGCCGGAAGAGGCTCTGGCGACTTTCCGGCGACCATCTTTACCAGACTTTCAAGATTCAGCAAGAAAGAGGTAAGAAGATGAAAGTTTGCTACGAGTTGGGTCAAGGACTATAAAGGAGAACGATGAAGATTAAGATTCAGAGATTTCGCCCGTTGGTACGGATGTTTTGGTTATTTGCTTTATTCTCCCTAACTTTTCTTTTTTTTTCAATTACACCCATAAAGTTTAAGATACACTAAGAGTGTGCATAATTCGATATTTAAAAAAAAAAATTATTAACCAATTAAACTAATAAATTTTACTTAACCATTTTAACCAAAATATTTCATTTAAGTTAATTTTTAGGAATTTTTTAATTACACCCAAAAAAAAAAAAAAAAAGATTAAAATTTCAGCTAACGGTTAATTTGGTTCAAAAGTATTGATTAATTGAATTATGTGTGTATATATATTTTAAAATTTTTTATAATTCATAAATTATACTATTATGCTAGTTTTTTAAATTTTATAATTTATGTATTGATGTAATGAGTACTTTATGTGCAAAATTATAAATTTAGAAATTTATTTATAAATTTTAATGTTTTAAAATTGGGCTAAAATAGTTTAGTGAATTCTAAAAATAAAGATTTCAAGCATTTTACAAATTCAATTTGGTTAAGCGGTTATTAATTGACTGAACACCCTTAAGACATACTACATGTAAAAGCTAGATTGAGCATTACCTTTTTTTTGAAAGGAGCATGTACGGCATTTTATTCAAAATATGCAGCAATAGAAACTGGTGGATCTGAGTCCCAGCACATAAAAGTCAAGTGAGTAAAAGCAGTAGATGCTAATGTATGAGTTAAATAATTATCTAATCTAGGAATATAATGAAGAAAACAAGAATCAAAAGTTGATATACTAGTCCTACAACTATCAATGACATAACCCAAGTAGGACCGTGACGAGTGTGTCATAGATAACAGATATTGCTGAAGCACCAAACAATCCGTGTAGAGCTCGATAGACTTTATTTCGCGGTTTCTCAACCACGATAAAACTTCCTTGCATGCGAAAGCTTCCGCCATTAGGGGTGAAAAATAATCTATCATTGGAGTAGTCATAGCCGACATATATCCCCCTTGCCCATTTAGAATAATAGCCCCCACCGCTGCTTTGTTTGTTCGTGAGTCGTATGCCGCATCGAAGTAACATTGATCCGTCATGTTCTGAGTATGGCGTGAGTTGCTTGGTGTGGACTGCTGTGGTTGATGCAGTACCGTGTTCGGCGTGGCAGCAACATTTATTGGCACGGACACCGCCGCAACCGTGTGTTCGGCCACTGCTATATGATGATCCGAAGTCATAGTGTTGGGCAGCAGATTTCGACTTTGGTGATGGACCAATTTCCAAGCACTCAGAGCTGATGATGCCATTACAATCACCTTCCGAGGTCTGGGCAAGTACGCATCCCATACAGCTCCATTCCTTGTGCGCCAAATATAATAGAGAATCGCCACTGCATAAATAATCCCATCATCATCTAAAACATTCATCAAATCATTAAACCAATCACTAAAAATATTTGTGACACTACTAGGGATTGGAAGGTGGGATTGTGCCCAAATGTCTGCCGTATAATCACACGTAACCAAAGAATGCACAACATCTTCATGTCCAATTCCACACATAGCACATGTTGGGTCAATATCAACCCTCTTTATAAGCAGGTTCCTTGTAGTGGGCAAAATATCACTCAGAGCTCTCCATAAAAATGTTTTCCACCTGGGGGGGTTTTAAGCTTCCACAATTTCTGCCATTTAATAAATGTCCGGATGCGGCACGAGGGTGCCCAAGTTGCGGACTTATTCGGAACGAGGGTGCCCAAGTTGCGGACGGATGCAGAACGAGGGTGTCCAAGTTGCGGACAGTTGCGGTACGAGGGTGTCCAAGTTGCGGAAAGTTGCGGTACGAGGGTGCCCAAGTTGCGGACAATTGCGGTATGAGGGTGTCCAAGTTGCGGACAGTTGCAGTACGAGGGTGCCCAAGTTGCAGAAAGTTGCGGTACGAGGGTGCCCAAGTTGCGGACAGTTGCAGTACGAGGGTGCCCAAGTTGCGGACAGTTGCGGTACGAGGGTGCCCAAGTTGCGGACAGTTGGGATAAAGATATTCTCACAGATATTTTCATACCTGAGGATGTGGATCGAATTTTCAAAATACCTGTGTCACCAGATTATGAGGATATGTGGTACTGGTATGGGGACCCAAAAGGTGAATATTCTGTTAAAAATGGATATAGAACAGTAATTGGAGATTGAGCATTACCTAATTCAAAAAAAAAAATAAAAATTAGAACACCTAAAAAGTAGGACAAATCTCTCTTGAAATAACATATTTTAATTGACTAATTGTTGAAATAAAAATTCTCTTTAATTAAATAAACAATTAAAATGCAAAACTTTAGTTAAAATTTATCTTTAAAAAAGAAAGTGTAATATTATTGCATGAAATCTATAATGACCACTAATGATTAACCAATAAAATGTGTTAAAAGGACAATCCAATAACGAAATTACAATGAGTACTAGTGTAATTAGATGCAATAAAAATAATTGGGGGAAATTAAATAATATGTAAAATTAGGAGGGCAAAAACGAAACTTAACTCTTGCATTAATGGACAAAAGGGGGTCTGAAAACACGTGTTGCTTCAGCGTATTTTTACAAGGTAAGATTATGAGGAATTTTTGGATAAACACAAACCATACTTTTAGGCTATTTAACTCTTTACTTTTAAAAATATATCATATTACTATAAAATTAAATTATAAATACAAATCAATTATTATTTATTGTAATGACACCTTTGTTATCTATCTATCAATATAATAAAGCAGTAACTTTCTGCCTAAAACATTTTCCCGCCCACACTAACCGGCGTCGTTTTAATAAGATAACTCAACAGTCGAATTAATTGTGGCCAATAGTCTATTACCGATGTAAATAAAGACTTCTAATAGTCAAAGAGTTCTAATTACATTGAGAAGCTAACCTATAATCTACATTTATTTACATATATAAAGATACAGATATACACATACGGCTATTACACATCTATATACGAGAAAATGCTTCAAAAAAATAATCTATTGAATGTAATCTTGGGTTTTGAAACGTTTCAAGCAACATTCATAGTTCCAAGGCAATATTCAAAATTGAAAAACAAATCTCAGCCTCTATATAAAGCTCCCTTGATATCAATGTTCACTCACAAGTAAACCATCTCTCCAGTTCGAACCACCTGCAAATACGCAAACAAATAACCAAAAGTCTGGGCAAAGATACTATGTCATCTCAGTATCGATTGAGATTACGGTGAGAACACCTGCCACCTGCCATCTGCCATCTCAGTATTGATAAAACACAGTTGCTTGAAGATTACGGTGAGAACACCTGAACATCTTTTTTTTTTTTTTTTGACAATTGTATTGAGATTTTTTTTGGATTATGCATGTGGACAGACAAAATTGGTAGCATAGTTTTCTGGAAACATTTCTATTCTCACCTATATTTGCATTCTGTAGATAGCATATATATATATAGCATTGAGGATATTCTATAGCATTGAGGACAACAATTAGGTTGCATTCAGGATATTCTATAGCATTGAGGACAACAATTAGGTTGCATTCTGCAGATAGCATCAGAATACAATTTCATCTCTAGAGATAGACATTTGTACAATAATAAAACACACATTCAAAGATGAAATTAAACACTATGCAATTAATAAAAAAGAACAGAAAGTCTCATTCAAAAACTCTGCAGAAAATGTATTCTCCAGATTGCTAAGTCTACAGACTTAGGATACCATAAGGAAATATGGAATTTCAAGTATAAATATAAATGCTACTTACATGGCAGTTAGATTAATACAAACTTATTGATTAAGTAGTAACATCAATATAGAACACACACGGAAAAGTACACACAATTCTTTGTAACTATTTGATATAATATTTGATCATCCACATCAGGTAAACCATAATGTAGTATTAATGTAATCAACCAAATAAATTCATAAGGTTCAGAAATGCTTACATTTATCCAATGTCATCAACATTTTGTGTCTTTAGTGTAACGTTTATCCGTTACTATTATTATAACATTAGGATAAGTTATGATAATATTCAATATGTGGTGCAACACTAATAACCTAACAACTAGACTACCATTATGATTAGGAGTCTAGTTAGGGTTTAGGAGACCTAAAGACAATCAACCACAATGATGGCCAGTGGTTATATAAGGTCACTAGTCCTCTCACTGCTCACATTACATACCTCATACACCATCTAGAGAGAGCTGAGTAAAGTGAGAGACAAAGCACTTATCATCTCTGCAGCAGCCCGGATCGCTCAACCGTAAGAAGAACTATGGCTGGAGGTTAGTACGATCCTATTATCACATATAAGATTATGCATGTGATATTTTAGTCTAACAGTTGGTATCAGTCGCCATAAATAATCTCTGCCTAGTTTTTTTTTTTTAATTGCTTAAATATTTACATATGTTGTATACGATTTTGTATAATTGAGATACATATGTGAATATTCTTGAGTTTGCAATTAAATTATCTGGGTTGCTGGAAATTTGGTGTTTTCTTTTTCCGCATTAAGAAATAGCAAAAAAAAAAAAAAAAAAAAAAATTGAAATTGGATAATTAAATTTTGGCTTGGCTGCTTCGTCGCTGTGCTACTGCCTTTGCGTGAAGAAGATGATGATGGATGATGGTAATTAAGTTAATGGACCAGGTCTGGCCCAATTGGGCCAGACTTGGGCTCATTTAAAAAAAATTACTGGGCCTGTTATGGTTTTGGGCCAAACCTGAATTGATATTTGGATTACATCAATTCATTCAGATTTACATCTTCATCATATTTGGACTTCTTCTAATTAAATTATCCAATTGAAATTTTTTTTATTAAGTCTATTATTAAATTATTATTCAACTTTGAATAATTATTCAGTTTTAATTTTTCAGTTGAATTTTAATTTAATAATGTTTTTCATTTTAAATTGTATTAAGTGTTACAATTTAATTGTGGAGTAT